ACACTATTTATTCTCAAAGAATTCAACATCTCTAATTTCAATTATTATGTTGGACTCTAAGCCGAGAAGCTTATAGGCCTTGCTATGTTCTGCATATCCAACAAGTATACTTCTCTTAGCTCTGAGTCCTAACTTGGTTCTTTTAGGATCTGGAACTCTATAATATGCTAAGCACTCCCACACTTTTAAATATGCTAAATTAGGCTTTCTTCCTGTCCATAATTCATATGGGCATTTGTTATTAACTCTATAAACAATTCTGTTATGTAAATGGCAAGCTGTTAGGAGTGCTTCCCCCCACAGGTTTAAGGGTGCATTAGCTTTTAACAACATGCAGTTTATCATTTCTATAAGTGTTCTATTTTTCCTTTCGACTAGGCCATTCTGTTCAGTACCCCTATCACTTCTAAGGATTTTAATTTTCTTTTCTAGTTGATTTTCAACTTCAGTCTTGTACAATTTAAACATGTCAAAGGCTTCATCCTTAGTTCTTATAAGGTAGACATAGGAGTACCTAGAAAAGTTGTATATAAATGTTATGAAGTATCTCTTACCTCTTCTAGTTAATACATCATTGAGTTCACATATGTCAGAATGAATTAGTTCTAGAAGTTGAGAATTTCTCTCAACACTAAGGAAAGGTTTCTTAATCATTTTAGATTTTACACATATCTCACATTTTTCAGTTGATTCATTACTATAAGTAATTATACCAAGTTTGTTCATGTTCTTTATGGATTTAAAATTCAAGTGTGTTAAACTATCATGCCATAAAGAGAAAGAATCAACAATATAAGCAGAAACTATTCCTTTATTAATACTTAATTTGAACATACCATTACAACCATATCCCTTTCCAACAAACATCCCATTCTTGGATAGGATTAATTTCTCGAATTCAAAAACAACTTTTAATCCCCTCTTACAAATAAGATTTAATGAGACCAAGTTCTTTCTAATGTCAGGAACATAAAGAACATTCAGGAAAGTCAGTGTCTTCAGGAGGTGAAGTTCAACTGTACGCTACATCTTCCAACAACTTTGGCACATGTTTGGTTTCCCATCTGTACCTCCTAGCCATCAGTCACTTCTTCATATGTCTTGAACAAGGACTTGTCCTTGCAAACATGGATTGTGGCGTCTGAATCAAACCACCATCCAGAAGATAATTCTGCCATGTTGACTTCAGTAACCATAGCCACTAGATTGTCTTCTACCATGTTTGTAGACTTGGTTCCGCCTTTCCGATGTCAGCAGACTCAGGCATAATGCCCTTTCTTTCCACAAACATAGTAGGATCCTTTCTTATTGTTGCTCTTCTTGAAGTTCCCATCCTTCTTCTTTACTTGTAATGCAGGGTTAGTYTTCTTCGATCCGTTTTCCACAAAATTGACCTTAGAGTTCAGCATACTGGCCAGGGTCTTATCCCTACTATCTCAAATCCGAGACTCTTCTTCAATACGAAGGTGTTGCTGAATTTGCTCCAAGGTAAGTTCTTCAGCCTTGTGCAAAAGCTTCTTCCTATAATTCTTCCAAGAGGGTGGAAGTTTGGCAATGATTGCTCCCATTTGAAAAGATTCAGGAAGGATGATGTCAAGGGATCGAATTTTGTTGACTATCACCTGTAGTTCATGAACTTGCTCCAGTATGGGTTTATGGTCATTCAATGTGAAGTCAAAGTATTCCGCAATAAGATACTTATTCGTAGCTGCTTCTTGCACCATGTATTTGAATTCCAAGGCCTTCCAGATTTCTTTTGGAGATGTGAGTTCCTTCTAGAAGTTGTAGAGTTGGTCTGATAAGGCATTCAGTATGTGTCCTCGGCATAAAAGTGAGTCCTCTTCTCGTTTTGCTCTTTCCTTCTTTAATTTTTCTGAGTCTTTGTCAGTGGGTTCAGGAAGTGATTGTAGATTCGGGTCCAGCAGATAGTATAGTTTTAGTGTGGTCAGAAAGAAGATCATCTTGTCTTGCCATCGGCTGAAGTTTGCTCCATCAAACTGGTCCAGTCGAACAAGATCTTGGTTCATCATCACGATTGAAGTCATGCTTGCTTCTGCCTCCATTGCAGAATAACGTTCTAAAATTGTTGGGAAATGGGGTCACTAAAGACTTTGGAGGAGAAGCTCTAAGGCGCATCTGAAGACACTGTCTTTAGAACGTTATTTGCCCCCACTCAGTTTCACTGAGTTTGTTGTTAGGTTAAGGCAAATTCGTTCCCAAGATACAACAAAGCCTTGGGAGAGAATATGCAACCAGCAAAGTTGAAGAGTCTCCGAATAAACCTTTTGTGAGACTGTAGCAAACCGGATTGAGAGAGAAAGAGAGAGAAAGTGAATTTTGAAAATGTGTGTTTTAGAAGTTTGATTCATTCTCCTTAAATAGTTTATGAAGAGGTATGAAGAAAAGGTAGGTTCTGGTTCAAAGAAGGCACCTTGAACCGTCACAATTTCAAACATTGTGATTGTTTAAAAGGTAGTTAACAGTTAATGACTGTTAACTTTGAATTGTGCCTCTTGATCACACCCGATCGAATCGTGACCGTTGATCTCATCAACAGTGATCAACGGTCAGCGTCGCACCAAAACCAAAGTTGCCCTTCGCAAGCCACGCTCAACACAGCATTATTGTGTTGATCACCGTTGATCTAAAGCGCCTCATTGTGTTGCACACACGCGTGCACGCGCATTGCACAGTATCAAACCTCCACACGCGTCCATACTCTCCAATGTGGGACAAGTTCAAAACTGGGTTTTGTAAGAGAAAAGCTAATTTTCCAAACAAGTGTGCAAGTGCAATATTTCATGTAATTAACCAATCAAACACATTGGATTTAATCTCTTATGAGATTAAAATCTAACAATCACAAATCTGTACAGGCTCAGAGCTCATCGTAGATTTGTACCGAGTCCTAAACTCATCACAGGTATCTTTGTGGCATCGGTTTAACACCTTCTGTGCTATTACGGTTGTGGTTTCCCTTCTAGTACATGTGGTCAAGTTTCTATAAATGGTTCCCCTTCTAGAAACTTGACCACATGTGCCACGAGCAAAGTTAACTTCAAAACGTCCAAGTGTTGCTTAAGATTATGTAGTGAGGGATGTAGGGCCCGTGCATGAGCACAAGGCAAGGTTGAGAAGCAAGGTTGCGAGACATGCCAATAGGGTGAGGCCAAAGCACTAAGTTATGAGGCACTTCCACGAGGCGAGGTTGTTGGGTTGCAACAAAGAGGAATAACACACTGCACGGGATTGTGATAGCCTCGCGATGTGAGGCTATGGCGCCTCAACACATTGCAAGGTCGTTGGTGCGGTGTGGGATGCATCGAGGCGATGCAATGGGGGGTTGTGATGTGGTGCACTATTATGAAGTTTTTCTGCAACAAGGGCTATGACAACAGTGAACACATACATGGGAAGCAACTGTGCTGGGAATTCAACGTTACTACATTAATGTCTTGTCGCATCACTACTACTCATGCACTAGCTACTCGCATAGCCACACGGTGGTTCATTCATCGCAAGTGATGTGATGTCTGATTCCATATATACTTACACTAGTTTTAGTAGCATTTTCAAAGCAATTCAGAAAAACATCAAATGTTAGTAGGAGCCGCACCATGATTCCCCTAGGGTCGGTCTAGAGCACATATCAAGGGTTATGGTGGATTGGTTATGGTAGATTGATGGATGTAGTGACTATTGAACTATTGAGCTTTAGCGACATTGTAAAATGAAGCAAGAAAGATGTTCCACCTAGTGTAATCAGATTAGACTAGCTAGTCCGAACAGGTAAAATCATGAACCCCTCCATTGATGGGTTCAATTAGGCTCTAAAACTCAGTGGTAACAAAAATTGGTCAAAAAATGGCCAATCAGCTGTTGCAACTAGGGAATTGAAGAAGAATTTGGATTTGATCTTCACACCATTCTTATACCCACTTGCACTTGTGCATTAGGAATAGTTCTCCATGAATAAAAGTATACTAATATGAAGATGTTTTCAATGCATGGCTACAAAAGGTTGTGAGGACAGTATGTAGACAATTTTGTGAGAACCAAATCCAATCTAATTGAAGAATCGAGATCTCGATTTCATAAAACCAGACTGATGACTCATGACTCAAAGGGAAAATGGTTCATCCTTGGAGTTGGTTCCCTAAACATTGATTTCTCCATACAAAGCTGCCTCAATTCAGAAAATAAAAATTTGAGAAAATTCTCGATTAGTACCCTGTACGTTGGGTCTAGTGCCACTTTAGTCTCCAAATTTTAAAATGTGACAAATTCAGTATCCAAACTTTTAAAATAATAACCAATTCGTTAATCATTAAGTGATATTTGAGAAGACACAAATGTCCTTCGAGTATCATCTAATTATATTTATCAACCATCCAAATGTTAACAAAAAATAAACAGTATCAAATCCTTTATCACTATCCAGACCCTTCCTGAATAGAAAAAATAAGAATTTGTCACTTTTTATCAACATTTAGATCATTAATAAAAAGAATTAGATGACATTCAAAAAAACACTTATGTCAATCACACAAGAGCTGATTAAATACTGAATTGACGCAAAGTTTAATACTGAATTAAGCCGGCTAACGATAGGTTGAATTGATACATTTAAAAAGTTCACATAGTAGCCGAAAATACAAGCTAATAATCGGAAATTTTCCCTAAAAACTTAACCAATCAAATACAAATCTTCCGAGAGCCCACTTTGCCCGAATTCACATTTACGCCCCACGGTCGCTCCACACCACATCCCAATCATTGTGCGCTTCCAATCCCACCGGTTTGTGTTGCAGAATGTAGAGACCAATCCCATCATAAGAGATCTGAACACGTGTGTGTCAATGGAACACAAAATCACGCAACACGCAAGCGCGTAATAGGAAGATGACCACGTTTTCGACTAGGAGTTTCGGAAAACTCAATCAGGAAAAGACGACACGTATCGCGACTCAATAGCTACATAAACAGCCGATGTTTATCACGCTTATCATTCATTCTCATCTCATTGCCTATTAGCACCCAACAACCGAGGCCAGAGAACAAGAATGTCTGATATGGTGGAGAAGGCGACGAATTTCGTCTCAGAGAAGGTTGCCAGCATAAAGAAACCAGAAGCCACCTTGGCCGACGTCGATTTCAAAAGCATCACTCGTGACTCCGCCACCTTTAGTGCTCAAGTCTCTGTAAACAACCCCTATCCATGCCCTCTCCCCATCTGCGAAGTCACTTACCTGCTCAAGAGCGATAACAGGTCATTGCCTCTCTCTCTCTCTCTCTCTTCGGTGTTATGATTGATGCTAAATTGTACGATTTTATCTGATTTGTGGTGGCGGGGGTGGGGTTGTTCAGAGTGATAGCATCGGGGACGATGCCGGATCCAGGGTCGCTAGCGGCGAACCAGACAACGATGTTAGATGTACCGGTTCAGGTGCCTTACAGCATATTGATAAGCTTGGCAAAGGACATAAGTTCAGACTGGGACATCGATTATGCGTTAGAGTTGGGTTTCACGATAGACTTGCCGGTCGTCGGAAACTTTACGCTGCCACTCTCTCATAAGGGAGAAATCAAGCTCCCTACCTTAGGTGACATCCTTTAAGTTCCTGAAATTGAATCGACTTTGGAACTTGCATCTTCCTCTTTTCATTTCTCTCTGTTTCCTTGTCCTTTACCAGTTTACCGGTGGATGTGTTTCAAATAAATATTAGGGTCGCCAGTAGCCTTGTATTATCGATGCGTTAGATCATCGATGCATCTTCTCTATCATTAAAATTCACAATAATACATTGTGGGTCGATTCTGAGTTCCAAACCGTGTGTGAGGGTTCCAACGCTCAACACAGCAGAGCAAACATGAAAATAGGATTCAGTTTTAAACTTTGACAGAAAATAGGATTCTACTACAACGGTGTTAAAATATAATGGTAAGAAAAACCAGTTGAGTCGTCAAAAAAAGAAAAAGACAAAGAACTAGTTGAGGGAAAGTTTTTAGTAATTGAAAACTGATTACGACGACCATGGAAAAGGCTTTGTTTTTGTGACATCTGGCAACGTGCTGCCCCATCCCCGTCTTGTGTAGTTAGTTTACTTTGTTTAAAGAAAAAGATTTTAAAGGCTGTACCAAAACCAACGGAACCAATTATATGGGTTTGGTTATGTGGTTTTGTATCAATTAATAACTGGAACTAGATCTGTTCTTGTTGTTTTCAACCAATTCAGATTCAAACGGATTATATTAGGTGTTTAGTACAGTAGTTGTGTTGATGTTGTGTTTTGGGTTTATCGATACAAAATTGTAAGAGATTTTTTTTTTTATTTTGAACTGATAAATTTAAATTGCTATTTCTCATAAATTACAAAGACATCCTGTAGGATCATTGACATTTACTCCCTAAACTTTTATTTGCAAGGCCCCTGAACTTTTACTTTGCCACAAATACCTCTAGCCATTAAGTCAGACGATAGAATATATTAAATTACCAAAATATCTACTTAAATTTTATTTATTTTCTTTTACTCACCCTTTTATCTTAAACCCTAATTGATTCAAAAATACCTCCATTTTCTCTAATCAAAATCAGCTAAAATAACAAGAATCATTTCACTAACATACAAAAACAAGTCTCATTAAATTATTATTTTATTTCACTAATATGAATGTCTCTCTTCATCTTAAAATATAAAAATTATATACTCCTTTCTTCAACGAATCAAGAAAAAACAAATAAAACCTTAAATTTATTTCTATCAAGAAAAAAAAAAAAAAAAAAACTCTACCATTCATCTAAATATTGAGTCTATAAATCTTCAAGGATCTTTTGGAGCAACCAAGAGAACTTCAATATTATATTTAGAAAACTAATTCAATCATAAATCACTCAAATAAATAAGAATAAGTCAAGTGATATAACTCTAACAAAAATATTTATTTCATTGCAAAGTAAAAGTTTATGGGGTAATTGTCACTGACCCCATAATATAGGAGGGTCTGTAATTTATCTTTAAAAGAGAATTTTGATAAACAGTACATAAGATAATTATGTTAAAAATACATGAATGTATACAATTTAGAGTCCATTTGTTTTTCAGATTTTAAAAGAGAGGAAAGTCGTTTAATGGGATTTTGGTTTTGACTGAGACATCTATATTCTTTTTTCAGATTTATGTGGGTTCATAAAAGTGATCCCATCTCCCCGTTGAATAACTTTCTCACCTTGGGGGGAAAGATGCCAACACTTGGATGAGACAAAATTGTCTCTTTCAATAATGATTTTTTATGGCTAAAAGAACATGGTTAAATAATTTTGCAAATGACAAATAGGACCTTACTATTTCAATTTCAGTTTTATTAAGGTTATATTATCAAAATGAAGTTCTAAATATAGTTGTCAAGGCAACGCCTAGGTGACAAGGCGCCCTTTGAGGCTCACCTCACCTAATTGCCTAGCAGTTTTCTACTTCGCATTATAAAATACTTTTTTATTCATTCTTTATTGAAATTATAATTATAAAATAGACATTATTAAACTAAAATAGTCATTTTGTGTGTTTGTATACTAATTTATTTTTATTATTTTCTTATTTATTAGGGTTTAATCAATACAAACATTGCTAAATGCTGTATAGACATTATTTTCTTATTTACTTTCTTATATACTATTTTCTTATTATTTTATTATTTTCTTATTTATTAGGGATTTATCTAATCAGCACATTTTCCTCTTCCATATATTCTTCTTCTACTACTACTAATACCAATGCTTTTTATTTTCTTCTTTTCCTCTAACAAAAATAAGGGTTCAGCCCCTATATTTTTTGAATTTTATTTTCCTTCTTCCTTTTCTTCTCATGAATATGTTGATTTTCTATACTTTAATATAAAATTTATACTTTTCTTATGAAAATCATGAATAATTATTAAAGAAATATGGTTATGGTACCTAGGAAACTACCCTAGGATATATATTTTAAAAATAAAAAATCCATCACATAGACAACACCTAAGCACCCACCTAGGTGACTAGGCAACCCCCAATTGCCTAGCCTCGCCTTGGCGCCTTAAAAACTATGGTTCTAAATTATTATTATCATTGATAATTATAGGTATCAATTATAATATGATATAATCAAAGCATGCTCAGTTGTCCTAATTAATGATTGGGTCAGTTTTGAGTCCTTTATTGTCCCGAATATGAATCGGAATAGGACTGATAAGCCCCGTCTCAAACAGGGCCGAATCCATTGACAGATCTAAAAAAAGACCCGAATAGATCCTAGGGTTGATGTGGAACATGTTTAATTCAAGACGATCCATTTCAGAAAAACAAAATTACACGTTGAAACGCCGACAATTATATTTCAGAGATACCAGGCTTGCTAAAGCTGAAATCAATGGGGAACTGTCGAACTGACATGACCAACAATGGAAAAGGGCTTGTAACTAACACCTAAGAAACCCATGGTTTAAAGCAGGGAGCGACCATGAAAGAAAAACAAGTGGCAGGGGAAGGCTCACCTTTGTAATGGCTGTGCTTATGAACGTTGACCGGACATGGATTGGAGTAGGGCCTGGAACGAGTGCTTTGCAGCAATACTCGATACCCCTCTCTCCAAACCCGTTTTACATGCACAAGACATTATCAATTCACGTTCAGAAAGGTAGTGGAACCGTTGAAGTGAAACAGATTCATTTAAGGACACGGTGCAACGCCTTTCTAATTATAATCTGCGCTAACATGTCTGATTTCAATTGCCATATACAAAATTAAAAACAAAGGGGTAAAAACACCATGATCCATGAATCACGCGAGATCACGCTCATCTCTGAGCTTTTCTCCCGTACAACCTTGTGGCACGTGCCAACTTCGTACATCTTGTCCGCTTATTAGCATTAGAAGCTTTTCAACTACCTTGAATGTCATGACCTTCTGAGTTCTGACTGATACCAGCTCAACTTGGTCAACCCTTACCCTGAAAGTAGAAGAAAAGAACAAGCTCAAATAGTTTTTAGTGCATTCGAGACCCTTTTCGTCGGTGAGAAAACAATTGTCTATGCTTGACAAGGCGTATGAAATAAAACATTGAATCGAAACTGTACAGCTGTCAACAAGATCATCTAGCCCACCTTTTAGGTGCATATGCAGTGGAAAGCAGATTGGTAAGGAAACATTTTTTTTTTTCCACTGCCAATACTATGCTACAATGAGACAATGCCCCCTACGGATGAGAAAAAAAACCGAAAAACTGAACCGACCAAAAAAATTGACCAAAATCGAATAAAAAAACCGATTAATCAAACCAGTCAGTTCAGTTTCAATTCGATGTTTTAAAAAAAAACCGATAGTTTCGATTCAGCTTCGGTTAACCATTTAAAAAACCAGCGATAAACCAAACCAACCGATATATATACAGTAATATATATTTATATAATATTTTATATTATATATATATATATATATATATATATATATATATATATATTATATTATATTTTTTTTTTTTGAAAATCTAATAAAAAAGTTCGACAGTCTGAGAGTGTTCAGATTGCCAAACCGAGAATTTAAGGTTTCAATTCACCAGTCTGGCAGACTGGCAACGAGACTGGCGAACAGCCTGTCTGACCCACCGTGCAGGGACTTTTCCCTTTCTTTCCCTCTCTCTCGGACTCTCACTCTCAGACTTCCACTCTCCCAGTTCTCTGAGCTCTCTCTCGGACTCTCTCAGACTCTCACTCTCCTAGTTCCGACAATCTTCGGTGCTCCGCCCTCCGACCAAATCACCGACAGCCTCCACACTGGTGATCCCTCCTGCTTTGGCAACACTGGAGGCTCGGCTGCATTTGCTCAACGGGTTAGAGGCTCTACTGCATCTCCCAGTTCTCTTCGACTCTCTGTTTTTCCCGTTTTTTAATTTTGAGGGCATAAAAAAACCAAAAAACCAAACCGCAATTAACCGATCGACCGGTTGCATCGGTTTGGTTAAATGTAAAAAAAAATCACCCCATCCGAAACCGCAATTAACCGATGGATTCTCTTTATATATGGAAATGACATAAAGGAAGCTAATTCTTTGGCACCTTAGGTGGTGGTGTTCCAGGTCTCAACATGTTCCTACCAAATTTTCCTTTCTTATCAGATGGCTTGAGTATCTGAAAAGAACATGTCAATGAGTCATCCACACTCATCATAGCACCGGCATTGTCAAACTCCCCACAATAATTTGGAGCCGAGAATATGGTCACCAACTGTCGCTTTGCAAAGAATTCATAACCATCTTCTACAACCTGATAAAATAAATTACAATCAAAAGATGGTGAAATTTTAATCCAAATACACTACTACATAAGATAATATAATCAAAAGAGTTGCAACACCATGATCCTCCCTTGAGCAATGGTGTTTCAATCAAGTACACAAGGAAAGGGATTGCGTGGCACACATGTTGATATGTTATCCCATTTAACATGGCAATATTTTGGAGTTGCATTTGGCTTGTTTAGTTTTAGTAAGATCAGTAACAAGTATCTAGAGTTATTTTAGAAGTCAGAGTCCATATTTGAGTGTCACTGTGGGTTATAAATGAATTTGCCTTGGTTCTTAAGTAATTATGAGTCAGATTCAAGCTCTTATGTTGAGCCCATAAATAGTCATTGTAATCGTAAATGGAAGAACTGATTTAACAAGTAAATGTTTGGATTAGTAAATTCTGCTAATAGATATCTCTCTCTCCACTGATTTCTTCTTCTAAGCAAATCTCTCTCTCTCTCTCTAATAGCAAGAGCATAATTGTCAAGGCGAAATATATATTATTTTATTGGTTGGTTTTAGTTTTTATAATAGAACTTGTGGTCCTCTAAGTCAGGTAAGTTAATCATTCTTCTTCTTCTTCTTCTTCTTCTTCTTCTTCTTCTTCTTCTTCTTCTTCTTCTTCTTCTTCTTCTTATTGGTTAGCTTTAGCTTTTATAATAGAACCTGTGGTCCTCTAACTCAGGTAAGTAAATCATTCTTCTTTGTATCTTTTCCCCATTTTTCTCCTCTTTTTGTATCTTTTCCTCAAGCTTTTTGAATCATTTTATTGGACTGAAACAGGAGCTCCGCCACCTTTTGTTCTTAAATTTCTTGCATGTTTTCAGCTTTTTTTTTCTCATTATTGGTGTCTGAAACAAGCGAGGAACAGGACTCCACCCCTTCTTTTCTTTTTTTTGATAAATGATAATAGGAGGCACAAGATGTTACCCCCCCCCCCCAAGGACTGAACCATATACACCAAAATTGCCCAAGCCTGACACAATTACAAAGTAGCCCAAAATAGATCTCCCCTTGACACCCCTTGCTTGCCAGAGAATCAGCCATTGCATTTGCTGATCTTCTGACCCACTGAAAACCTGACAGTCATATTCTTTGTCATCCATTTTTCTTTAACAGATCCATGTAGCCCCAACAAGCTGTTTCTAGGCTAATTAGCTAGCCTACTACTACCTTGGAATCCCCTTCTACTAACAGATTGTTGACTCCAATTTGACTAACCATCTGTATACCTTGTACCGCTGCTAGTAGCTCTGCCCTTACAGAATCACCTTCACCCACTGGTCCTAAAAATAGAGACAACATATTGCTGTCTTTGTCTCTCAAAATCCCATCGATTCCAGATGGTCCTGGGCTACCTTGGCAGCTTCCATCAAAATTCAATTTTACCACACCATCCGGTGGGGGGTTCCGTTCAACTTGTGATTTGATCTTAGTGGAGACTGTAACAGCCACTGCAGCCAAATTTCTCCTCAAGTCATCAAAGGAGTAATCTGCCAACAAGTGTGAAGATTTTAACCATGAGATAGTCCTTGTCAATATGCATTCCTTGATTTCAGCAAGATCTTGAAATATTCTAGCATTTCTATCCCCCCATACAGTCCACAATGTAGCAGCTCTGATACATTTCCACATTAGCTTCCCTCTTTTTGTCAATCTCCCAAAAGCAGCGGGAGTGAACAGCAACTTTACTTCAGAGGGCAAATTCCACCTGCACCCAAATAATGAAACAACCTAGTTCCAAATATTGGCAGCAAAGGAGCATGATATCAACAAATGGTTACAGTCCTCACCCTTCACTTCACACAATAAGCACCAATTAGGGGACAGACACATAAAAGGGTTTTGCTTTTGCAAGTTTTCCACAGTATTGATCTTAGCATAATAGGCTTCCCAACAGAACACTGCTATTTTGGGGGGAATTGGTCTTGACCAAACCTCTTTAACAGGGAAGACCTAAGAGGAGGGGTTGGAGCAAAAGGCTTTAAAGAAAGAAGCACAAGTAAATGAGCCAACCAGGGTTGGGGACCAGAATCTTTTATCCAGGTTAGGGGGGTCCAAACACACTGAATCTAGATGCAACAACAGTTCTGAAACACAAAGAAATTCTTCATCCCTTAACCCTCTTCGAAACCGAAAATCCCAATTTAAAGCCAAAGGGCAAACCAGGGGGAAAGGAACCAAGAAATGGGTTTCTTTTTAAAGAGGGAGATGGAATAGAGAGAAGGGAAACGGTTTTTTAGGGGTTGAGTGCTCACCCAAGTATCTTCCCAAAAAAGAATGGAGTTTCCAGAGCAAGAATTGTACCTTACAAAACTGAGGAATTTAGGGAGAATGCCAGAGATAGCCTTCCACGGTGTTGTGAGCAAAGCCCTTCGGGATACTCCCGCATCCCAACCTGATTCAGAACAGCCATGGATACTTTTCACTACTTCATGCTACAACCTCTCCCTCTCCAGGGGCCACCTCCAAAGCTACTTACCTAAAAGAGCCTCATTCTTACTCACCACGTTCCCTAATCCTAGGCCTCCTTCTTCCTTGCTCCAACACACCACCTCCCACCTAATCAAGTGATCTTTTTTCTCTTCACCAGGTTCCCAAAAGAAATCCCTCATCAGTTTTTCCAACCTCTTTGCCTCCCTTTTAGGAATTCTAAAGACTGACAAGAAGTATAAAGGTAAGTTGGCTAAAGTTGCTTTAATCAAAGTAACTCTACCACCCTTGGAAATATAGTTTCTCTTCCAAGCTGCCAATCTTTTTTCGAATTTTTCCACCATCGGGTTCTAGAACCTACTTTCCTTTGGATTTGCACCTAATGGAAGTCCTAGGTAGGATAGAGACCACTGAGAGAAGGTGCATTCTAGCAAGGCTGCTATAGACTCCATCTTCTCTCTGTTCAAATGAACTCCCACAACACAACCCTTCTCAAAATTTACCTTTAAATTTGAAGCCCTCTCAAAGTGAATTGTTAAATCCTTCAGATTCCTTACCTCCATCAAATCACAACCTTCACAAAAGATTATTATGTCATCTGCAAATTGGAGATGGGTTACTGAAACTCCTTCTCTACCTGTTCTCCACCCTCTTAGAGATCCGGCTCTATCTGCTTCTGAGAGAAGTCTACTAAAAGCATTGGCGACTAAAGTGAAAAGGAAAGGTGACATGGGATCACCTTGTCTCAAACCCCTACTAATTGGGAAAAAATCATTAACTACCTTGTTGACTAGGATGGAATAATGGCAATTGAAAAGGCAACCATTTATCCATTTGCACCATTTATCCCCAAACCCACACTTCCTTAGCACAAGTAGTAAGAATCCCCAATCCACCAAGTCATAGGCCTTTTCAATATCAAGTTTGCAAACATAACCTTGATACCTTGATCTCCACATCTCCCCCATACATTCATTTGCTATTAGAATCTGATCTACAATTTGTCTCCCCTAAACAAAAGCTCCTTGCACTTGGTTGATAAGATAAGGAAGCACCTTTTTTATCCTCAAAGATAAGACCTTAGCCACAATCTTGTATACACTAGTCACCAAACTAATAGGTCTAAAATCCTTTGGATGCTTGGCCTCTTTCTTCTTGGGAATTAAGGCTAAAAAAGTAGCATTAATTCCACGACTTATCACTAGATTATCCTCAAATTCCTTAAATACCTCGATTAAATCTTCTTTGACTGGTCCCAACAATCTTGAAAGAAAGCCATTGTAAACCCATCTAGCCCTGGTGCTTTTGACCTGTCCATTGAAAAAACGGCTTTTCTAATTTCTTCCTCCTCAAAATTCCTTTCCAACCAGCTTCTACTCTCTTCTAGAAGCCTCTGCAAGGTTATGCCTTCCAACTCCACATTAGGTGTTAGGGGTCTCCTCAAAATGGATTTGAAGTGGTCAACAAAACAATTGGCTATCCTCTCTTGGGTATCAAAGACTATTCCATCCACTTCTAGTTTGGACACTAGGTTTTTCCTTCTCCTTCCATTGGCTAGGTTATGAAAGAATTTAGTGTTCCCATCTCCTTCCTTAATCCATTTACATCAAGACTTCTGCCTCCAAGAAATTTCTTTTCTCAAAACAACTTCATCTTACTCTCTTTTCAGTTCCCATCTCCGATCTCTCTCCTGAGGGCTTATGGTTCTTTGGAATTCCTTCGCATCCAATTCCTCTATTTGGGTCAACAAAGAGGATTTCATTTCTTCTAATCTCCCAAACTGCTCCCTATTCCAATCCTTCACATGTGCTCGCAATCTTTTAAGTTTTTTGTGAAATCCTACCCCTTTCCACTTCTCTCCACCATTCCCCAACCTTCTTCAAGAAGTCCGGGTGAGTCAACCACATGTTCTCAAACCTAAAGGGTCGGGGTCCTTGCCTAAAAGGTTCCTATCTTAGGCCAATGGGGCAGTGATCAGAAGTGACTCTCGGTAGAGACCTAGTGATCAAGTCCGCCCACTTATTTTCCTAGCTTTCGTTGAAAAGGAATCTATCTAATTTGGAGCAGATTGGTGTCTCTTGAAAGTTGGACCAAGTATAGAGGGCATGCAGCAGTGGGAGTTCCTTTAATTCACAGTTATTAATAAAATCATTGAATCTCCGCATGCTGGTTGTAATGACCTGTTGGGGATTATTTGATTCATTTGTAAATCGAATTACATTGAAATCTCCCCCCAAACACCACGGACCATCCCAAAGCCCTTGTATCCCATAAAATTCCTCCCAAAATTCATTCCTTTCTTAGTAATTGCTTAGTCAATACACATTAGTTAGTGCCCATGTAAATCCATCCTCTACCATCCTGAATTTTAACGACACTGAAAAATTTCCTACTAGCTCCTCCACAGCATCCTCTCCCCAAAAAGTAACAATTCCCCCTAAAGCCCCCCAAGAAGGTGGTGAAACCCAGTTTATTCCTCTAGACTTCCAGATACTCCTTGCCCAACTTCTATCAATATCGGCTAGTTTGGTCTCCTGTAGCTTCACTATATCCGGCCTTTCCCTTCTAAGGAGGTCCTTAATTAGCCTTCTTTTCCTAGCACTCCCCAGCCCCCTTACATTCCAATTGATGATTTTCATGGAGATAAAAGAATTGGCATCCCCTCCTAAGATCAGGCCCTTACTTGGAGGCTTTCCTTCTTTCCCCTCTTTTGCTAAACTCCAAATTTTCTTCTATATCTGATATCAACCTTTCCACCTCTAATATTTTCTTCTTCCTTTGGTTGTTAATTATTCCAGATCTGCTTAAGACTACTTTTGTTTTATTTTGCCTTTCCGAAAGTCCTTGGTTTTCCTCCACAGGTTCCTCTGTTTGCCTATACTCCTCAAGGAGAGCACAAATCTGTCCCCAAATCCTCTCTAGTTCCTCCTTCTGCATCTTTCTCATAATTGATTCATCCCCAACTTTTTTGCTACTTTGAGCCCCTGTTTTTACTGAACCTTCTTAAACCTCATACTTCCCTACCTCTTCCTCTTTTCTCTTATACTCCAAAAACCTACAGATCTGATCCCAGGTATTCTCTAACTCCTCTTCCTATAATTTTCTTCCCCTTTCCACTTCCTCTCGATCTTTACCCTCCTTGTCCCCAATTAAATATTTTCCATCCATACCTGCTGCATCAAGTTGAGCTACAAAAGTACCTATTCCAGACAGAAAACCCACATTAGTACTAGAAAACGAATTGACAATATTACCTGACAGGTTGTGGGAAGAGGACAACGGATCTTGAGAAGCAACACAAAGGGGCAAGGTCGCGTCTAATCCTTCCAAAAGAGATGGTTGTGGGTCCCCGTTGTGTTCAACGAATATTGTTTTAGTCCTTGCATTAGAATCTGCCTTTAGATGTTGTCCCCTGATTGATACCTCTGTGATCGGTGACCGAGGTATGTCTTGTTCCTCTAGTCTTCTATCAATGCCTTGCTGCTCTAGCAAACTGGGAGCAAATTTAAGAGCCAGTAACCTTTGCCTCTCCTCTATAAAAGCAGCGGTAGACCCCACTTCCTTAGGTATAGGGAAAAATTGAGTATACTTTTGAGCTGAATCCTTTAAATCTAAATCGTCATTTTCCAAAAAATGCAGCTCGGTATGTAGGCTCTCATCAGCGCTGAGGGGCTTAGCTTTTTTCAGTTCTACACTTCCAATACTTGAAGAGCCTTCAAACTCTGAATCTGAGCTACTTCCTTCCCCCGTCTCACAGACCTCAAATGCGTTTGTGGTATTTTGTTTTTCTGTCACCAGAATGAGGGAAAACCCTGTCTCCACTGTCGTCAGATGATGCTTCTTGAACCTCGAATTCCGTCGTTCCGAAGAAAATCCCTTTTTCTTCAAGCTTGAAACCCATGCCCAATTCAGATTTTCCGCACCACTGTGGCTAACCCTACTTCCTGCAAGCATTGGTTGCGAATTGCTCGAGGGAGACGATGATAGACCATTGTTTTGGTCCATCATCTCCCCATCTCCTTTGGTCACGTGCCTACTTAAAAGGGCGCGAGGCTTTTTAAGGTCTAGGTCCACCCGATTTAAAAAAGTCGGCCCATTCACTTGCCTAGACCCATTAGATCCTGATGGGCTTAGCCCAACCCCCTACCCTTTGCCAGTCACGTGTTTACTTAAAACAACATGTGACTGGTTGACTAGCCTCGGTTCATTGGACCAGACTGAACCAGCTCACAGGACTGGCTTGAACCCTGAAACCTTGCCGACCTTTGTTCA